TCGGGGCTTTTTTAGTGTCCCCGCGGCCCGGTCCTCGACCAGGCCTCCACCCCCCAGGAAGCAGCCCGTGACAGCTGACTAACAACCAGGTACCTATTTTACTGCTAGGTAACAGGGGCATAGGGTGAAAGAAACTCTGCCCATTGTTTCTCGCCGGCGCCTGGGATCGAACCCAGGACCACAGGATCACAAGACCCGCGTGCTGTCTGCTCGGCTCCGGCCGGTCGGGCGGGTCAGGGCAGGGCAGGGAGCAATATACTTTCCCAGTTTTCCCATACCAACATTCCTTCCTTTTTCTATACTATTCATCTTCCCAACTCTTCCTCCAGTCGTTACTCTTTTTTTTTTACTTTTCATCCATTTTTTTTCAAAATCCTGGTTTTAAATATTCATAACATACTAGCTGTACCTATTCCAATCAATTTTTAGATTTATATTTGTTTCCATGAAAATATTATTTCTAGTAACTCAGGTATTCTTAGAACAACAACAGGTATACCAGTACTCATTCACAGCATATAACGGTTATCTTAGAACTACATATACATATCAAAAGGTAGATTGTTTACTCTTTGCACAAACAAGCATTATAAACTGTCAAAGAATCAGCGACTCGCTGAACATCCGTTTACTTGAACAAATCCACAAGGGCCGTGATGATGGTTCGAACCTACGCACAGGGATGTTCCCAGCTGCACCTTAGCCCTTGTGGACGGCCCTTCTGGATTTGTTCATTTGATATATCACGTTATTGTGATTTCTGTGTGTATCACATTTACTTCATTCATTACAAATACTAATTGATTTTCACAGCATTATCAATTCTTTTCAATGGGTAATATTTTGAAATAGCAAAGTATGCATGGATAAATAATTGCCATTTATTTTAAATAATTTATTAAAAAAGGTACATTGAGAAACATGATATTTTTGAGCTCATAATATTTTCAAGTGAATTATATGTCTTGGGAAAATTTTCACTGAAAATTTCCTTTAATCAATATTGTTGACTTATATTGTTTCACATGTGCTCCTTAATTTTGTAACCATATTTCACAATATCCTATCAAGATTCTGATCTCAAAAGAATATCACTTATATTAGAATACAATTATGAATAACAGGTATTTTATATTATAATTCACTTGATAGAGACGTGCTTCTAATTATGATGTATAAGATTTGCAGTTAAAAAGAGTGTTGTTATTTAAAACAAATTCATTGTTTCCTTGGTAGAGATGTACTCATCAAGTTGTGCTTGCAGGAGTTGAGCTTCATCTCTTTGCTCCCGCCTCTCAACTGGTGCACACATTCCTGAGCCTACTGGGCTCTATCATATCTACATTTGAAACTGGGTATGGTGTCAGCCTCCACCACATCATTGTCTAATGCATTCCATTGTTAAGTACTCTGACACTGAAAAAAAACATTCTAATGTCTCTGTGGCTCATTTGCCTACACAGTTTCCACCCGTGTTCCCTTGTTCATGTTCAACCCATGCTAAATATTTTGTCTTTATCCACCCTTTAAATTCCTCTGAGAATTTTGTAGGTGGTCATCATGTCTCCCCTTACTCGTGTGTTTTCCAGGGACATGAGGTTTAGCTCCAGTAGCCACTCCTCTTAATTCATCCATATCAGTTCTGGGACAAATCTGGTGATATACCTTCACGTCTTCTCGAACTTTACCTTGTATTTAACTAGGTATGGACTCCAGGCTGGAGCTGCATATTCCAGATTCCAGAATGATTCCTTACACAAGTTTCTAAGGGCAGTTCAAATGTTGGCCAATCTAGCAAATGCCACTGATGATATCCTTTTGATGTGGGCCTCGGGGGACAGGTTCGGTGTGATATCAACTTCCAGGTTTTTCTCTCTACTTCACTCTTGCAGGGTTTCACCTCCCAGATGGTATCATGTGTATCATGTGTACAGCCTCCTGCTCCCTTCACCTAATTAAATTACTCTACACTTACCTGAGTTAAACTTTAGGAGCCATTTTCAAGGCCATTCCATATAACTGTGAATTAATCTATGCAAAGTGTACAAAACATATCTATTGAAGAAAAGATTATGTTTCTAAAATGAACAATTCATAAAATGAATGATAATTGGTTCTGTACATCTATTGTGATTCCAAAAATAGTCTGAATTCCTAATATTTGTTAAGAACAGTATTCAAAGTTAGTCATTTATTTCTTAAATTCTTGAATTTTCTTTCAAAGAAATAAATTCATATACTGTATGTTTATCATTTACATTCCAGGAAAAACAAAATACTGTACAATGATTTAAGTAAAAGAAAGAAAAGAAAAAAAAAGTCAGCGTTGAATGTAATGAAATGCCATTTTTTGGGCGAGACCCGGAGGCTCTCCAGACCTATACCGGGCTGATGTGTATATATTACACCGTGACAACATTCAATCGATGGAGTTTTAGGCCTACCGGGGACAAGCGCCAGAACCTGGCCCCCTCAGAGAGGCACCAGGAACAATGGCCTAAAGACACCCCCGTGTAATTGGAAGCAGTCTTTGCCTTCCATCTACCAGGTCAGGCACCCAGAAAGGTATGAATTCCAAAAACTACAGCTGGGTAAAAATTGCAAACAAAGTCGAACTAGCAAGCAGAACTCACCCAATCAAAAACAAGCAAACAATCATGACAGTCACCACAGCCTCCGCACAGCTGTCTGCACAACTCCCCCCTCCCTGAGAAGGGGAAAGGGGGGGAGGGGTCCCAGACCTCCCGCCACCGGCTACCGAACCCCAGTTCAGAGGCTGAATATAAAAAACACGAAAAAATGCTGATCGGAGAGGGAGGGAGGGAGGGAGGGAGACGACGACGCCACCGCCCTCACCAAAATGGCGGCTCCAAACCTTCTCTTGCTGTTTATACCCTCTATACACACGTTATATATAAGTATCTACATTTGTGTTCACCATAGCGAACCACTAAGCTGGTATGTTGAGTGCAGTCAATAAAAGGTGGCCACACACAGTCAAAAGACATCACCACTACCCTCCCTCCCACAGCATTATTCCTCCTTCCATGGCGCACAGCGCTAAATATCACCACAATCCTGCTATTATCAGAACCCTGGTCAGTTTTATCACAGTCAGGGGTCTTCTGTAATAATGTCATCGCTACATAATAGCATGAACAAGTATAATTTGCCATTTTTAGGCGATGCTGTGGTCACAAGCTGAACAGCAGTGCTGTTAGCTCATGCTGCGTGCGTCAGGCTTGGTTGCTCACTCAATACTGAGGCCAATAACACCCGGGAGTTTGGCCCACGATTTTTTTTAAAAATGGCGTCTGTTTACAAGAGCCCTGATGAAGGTGTGGTGAACCCCGTGTATCCGCGGGCTGTTTAAATCTTGTGTAGTACTCCAACACATCATATGACGTGATGCGCAGTTGACTGGAACAACGTCCAGCACGTCATATGACGTGATGCGCACTTTAAGGGTTAATGCTTGTGCCCTCTCTCTGCATTTGCACACACTATAGCAGAAATCTGTTCTTTACTAACATTACGACTTTGAAAAGATTTTCCTCTGCCAGCTCTTCTAATTCAAAGCAAACCTCTCTAAATATAACCAGATTTATCTTCATAATACACATGGAGTAATTAAAACTATGCTTGGTCATCAGGGTGCAATTAAATTTGGATGGATGCACCAAGTTCCTCACCAGAAATCCTGCTCCTATGTCATGTAATCCTAAACTCAAGAAGCCCCTCGGAACTGGCGTTGAAGGCCTCAATGCTTGAAGTTCATGCCATTCTTGCTGCTACAGATTCTACAAAAAGCATTATACAAATTCACTAAAATGCTTTTTTTAGTCACTATTCGTACCACTCCTGCTCTTTTTTTCACTCTCAAACTCTGCAGTCTGCTTCTTTGTGATTTTTATGCCATAAACAGCACAGCTGCTTGCCTCTCTAGCCACGATTATGTTTCTTCAATGACTCTGCCTTCTTAGTCGTATACCTGGTACCTGGTATAGAAAGAAAGTTTCTTACCTTTACCTGATGCACTATTTCTATTCTTGCCAGGCAATGTATTTTTAATTAGCGATTACCTGTACATCAAAAGAAAAGTCAGTAAAAATGCTTGAGTAATGAGAGGTCAGACCATGCTTCCACACAGGAAAACTCACAGTAGGTCAACAGTTGCCACAGAAAAAATTATTAACTAGGAACAAAAACAGCCATCTGGAAATCAATAAATACAACAATTCAGATTTCAACACAACCAATTCAAAATTCTGTTCTAAATTCTGAAAATCTATATTTTAGATGGTACTGAATAGCAAAAGAATTGGCAACTTTGGATGCAACCTTATGTCGGTTGCAGCGGAAGTAATCTTGTCTAAATCTGTTTACGTAAGTGGCAGTGCACTGTACTTCAAGACCTCACATACAAAAGTTTGTCAACATTCCCTCTAATACGAGCACATCCTACGTATCCCACCTTGAGTCCATAGGACTGCCAACCTTTATATTATAAAGGTGTCGAGGGAATCACCAAAATCCCCGTGGCGCAGTTGTAAAACACTCGCCCACCAATTCGCAAGTGCTTTGGCCTGGGTTAGTATTCTGGCCGGGGATAATTGACTGGATGTCAATCCTTAACTGTAGGCTCTGTTCACCCAGCAGTGAATGGGTACCTGGTTGTTAAATGATTTGCCGTGTCGTATTCCGGGGAAAAATTAGGATTAAGGACCTGCCCAAAATGCCATGCATGCTAGTGGCTCTACAAGAATGTAAGAACTTTTGTATGTATAAATATATATAAATAGGTATAAAAATATTGTAGTAAAGCCTGATAATAAAATAGAGTACATGGAGATTATGCATTAATTCCTTGCTGAACAGAACAAGGCCATTAATTTATGCTGACACCAGAATATAAAAATATTAGCATATTGCATTAACTGCATAACCCTTTCTTAGAATATTTGTATATAAAACAAACAATGCACTGGTATAATCATTACCACAAAATTTCGAACATCCATATCGGCCATATTTTCACATAAAATTTCGACAGCCTCCCGTTGCCCCCAATGCGCAGCTGCATGGAGTGGAGTCCAACCATCTAGATCTTGTACATTGATATCAGCACCAGCTTCTAACAACAAACTGTTTAAAAAATAAAAAGTATTTTAAGTGCTTGCAGTATTACATTAAAATTTTTAGGAGAATCTAGAATTTGTGCATCAAAACCTCAACTTGATGCAACTTGAATATGACCTATTTGTCTCAAGATTTGTATACAGTGTACATGTTAATTTAGTTGATACTACTAAGACAATGACTGAGATGGGTAATTAGTGCATCAGGTATAAGGGGCCGGTCGGCCGAGCGAACAGCACGCAGGACACGTGATCCTGTGGTCCCAGGTTCGATCCCAGGCGCCGGCGAGAAACGATGGGCAGAGTTTCTTTCACCCTATGACCCTGTTACCTAGCAGTAAATAGGTACCTGGGAGTTAGCCAGCTGTCACGGGCTGCTTCCTGGGGGTGGAGGCCTGGTCGAGGACCGGGCCGCAGGGACACTAAAGCCCCAAAATCATCTCAAGATAACCTCAAAGTATAAATGGCTAGGAGGTAGGGCATCAAGAGCTAAATCCCACTACTCTGTAGTCACTAATAGGTAAACACAGTGTAAAAGAGGAGATTCATGGCAGACAATCAAGGTGTAAAGGTGAAAGGTCTCACATGACAAATTAGTCAGTTTTATAATTGGTCTCCTAAATGAGGCAATTGCAGTGTTTGCAGCACCTATTGAAACTCACACAAAGTACTACTGTGATATAAAATATGGATACTGGAGTACAATAATTTCAGATATAACAGGAAATACAGGCTATAGGGTGGGGTCAGCCTGTAAATCAGTATATCATAGTGGTCTAGCAATTATGAAGGGCAGGACATCCAGCTCTAAACCTACACTGGATAGGATTATGTATGTGTTGTGACTCCATTCATTCCGTTATCTTACTTCCTAGCACTTTTGTGAACGTCTTTTTGGAGAGAACAATAAGAACTAGTAGGAAAATGGTGTAAAGGCGAAACACAAATGAAACATTGTAGAAGAATACCCAGTGACCACAGTAGTTTTGTATTTATTATTTGGGGGGGGGGGTGAATCAGGAAAATAATTAAAAATAAAACAAAGTGGATATTGGTGGATAGTAATGTTTGTAATAAATGTTCAGTAAAATAGGGAATTTTATATTATACAGTAATATTGCATGTTATAGGCATACATGACCCAATTTATTGTGTAAAACGAGTAAAAGCTGATGGCACTGTTGAAAGTATTATGAAAAGTGGATGTAGGTGAACAGAACACTGAAGACATCAGCACGAAGAAACACTGATCCAAATTTTGTCTGGGAGCAAAGCTCCATCGTTTCCCCAAGGAATAAGCTGGGAGGAGTAATGTGTATTGCATGGGAAAGAAATGATGAATTCATGGAGCTTGCATCTCACTCCCTAACGAACTGAAAAGCTGTCCAATTTTGCCTTATTCAAAAATAAAACCATAAAGTACCTAATTTCATGTTCATAGTTTCCTACCTAGTGTTTTAAACTCGCAATGTACCTAGTGCTACCCAATCCCCCAATATATGTACTTAAGCCATATAACAACACCATTGTTATCACTGCTATCATCTTATATCATGGTTGTTATATTGAACATATATTTTACTGTATTAAACCTGGAAATAATCCTTAAATTATACTACAATGTACCTGTTGATAACCCCTCATATTTTACTTTAATGTACCTACTAATCTTTGTCAAATTTTCTTACAATGTACCTGTTAAAAAAAAATTCAATTTTGCTAGAAATTACCTACTTAAAAATGCAGGAAAGAAAACATTGATTATGACTTTGGACTATCTAATGCAGTTATTAGAAACATACAAATTAAAGAAATTAATTCAGATTTAGAAGAACTAAGAAATGCACAGAGACCTGAAAGCTGCAGTATTAAAAGTTATGACAAGTTCTGTAATAATAGGTATTTGTATGGTCAGCACAGTAACCGGACCAGGCAATGTGATGTAGTAATTGCGCGAATTCGCCTTGGCTATAGACACATCTGGCAGGTTAGTGAGGCTGAGCCACTACCAGAATATTCAGATTGTAAACTCTGTGATAAACCTTTAATGCACTCACTAGAACACTATATTGATGAATGTGAAACCGTAAAGGACTTTAGACCTCCTGGCCTATTGTACCACCAACTGTGTAACTATTTTATTGACTCAGGTGTTCTGGACGACATCCTAACAATTTACCCAAAATTTGCTTGTCCATTTTAAAGAATGAAGAACAATTTCTATTTATATTCTAAGCTGTATCACTTATGAACCCATCCCTGCCCTTGTGTGGCAGTGCACAATAGAAAGTTGTTGTCACATATTCACACATTAAAACATTGATTGTAACCATGATATATATGTGCTTCAGCCTACAGTTTAGACCTATTGTCTTATGTATGACCCTCTGTCCTGCGTGACAGTGAATACTAGCATTAACCTCAATTTAATAAGACTATAAAAATTCTCAGATTAGGCAAAATTGTAATTAATTTTGTCAATAAAGATGTTAATAATAATAATAACTTAAAAATTATTTTCTAAATTAAGGACCTGCCCAAAACACAATGCATGTTAATGGCTTTATAAGAAAGTAAAAACATCAATGCTATGTACTCTCATAAACCCAATGTACTGTCTTGTATATATAAATATATAAATCTCAAGGAGAAGGCTAGTGTGTTTTATAAAGAAATGAACATCACTGAGCAAAGATCATATACCGATGACTAGCTAGGGAGATCTACAAGTCTACAATCTTCATGAGTGGCTCAGTACTCTCTCTCTTTTCTAAGATTTACTCAAAATTTTGGTAAGACAAATAAGTTTTTAGACAGTCAGATCCAAAGCATCCCGAAAAGCATATGGTTGTCGGTAAATCCGAGGTAAAAGGTTAGCAACTTTGATAAATGGAATATGTAACAAATGGAGAAGCAAACTTTACTCTTAAGAGATAACAGACAATATCCTTGATGTCCAAAACAGCCACAGAAAAACTTGCAACTATAGTTTCCCCAAGTGTGAGGCACAATACACACTAGGAGAAAACCACAACCATTACAGATCTCCCTTCAATGGCCAAGTCACCTTGATTCAGTAACATTTGCTAAGATTTCCTGCCATTACTCCACATTCAGGGCCATGCTTATCTCCCTGTAATCCCTCAACAATAACCTCTAATGCATCTATTCTGCAACATTTCTGAACATTTTGTACAATAGTGTTATAGTATCCTCCTACTTAATTTATAGTCTGGCTGTGAAAGCTATGTAAGCCTATGAGCTACAAAAAAACATCCTCACTGAGAAGCAATCTCCAGGATAGCCCAGTTCTTGGCAGGGCTGCAGGAGTAGAGAAATTCTTGAAATCATCCATTGGAAAACATGTAATTTTCCAGTTTCTCATGATTATCAGTATAACAGCAGTTGTAACCGTAGGTCAGCAGGGTCTTGCCTCATGTAGCATCCACGTGTGGCGGATATTAGTTAGTTATACAGTACTGTATATTGTACTGACTTCCTAATACCGTTCATCATACCTGAACTCAAATTTGGCTTTTTACCATGTAATATTAACTAGCAAACAAAAAGAAAAAAAATTAAAGTGTACTGATCTCTTACTTCATAACTTTGATGTAGCCTTTTGCAGCCGCTACATGTAAAGCTACAGCGCCAGTCTTTGGGTGAGGTCGGTCCGCTAAGTAACCTGAACTGAGCCACAGCTGAGCATCATCTAACATACGCCGCTCCTCTTCATTTCGAGAAACATCACAATCAATACCTAAGAAAACAATTTAGTTAATACTTAGAAGTATAAAAAGTAATATAAATTTTGTGTAAATGGTACAGAAAACTAACATCCAATTTATTGTAAACTATGACAATTCTCTACAGTTGATGTTCGTAGCATTTTCCGATTGTGTCCTATGGCACCTTTACTCTTCACAGCATTTACTACCATATTGTTTGTTCCAAGAAGGCCTGGTCAGAGTGGGCCACACGGACAATGATCCTCAGAATTACCGCAGGGTAACCACTATGTTATTTTACGGAGTATAGCTGGGACCTGACCTTGTGGGAAATCTTACTCACTATACTGTATATCAATATTATTATCTAAGATATGGATTATTTCCATATCATATCATATATAATCATATCAGAATCACATCAGATTCATTATATCCTCTAAAAATCTAAACTATTGGGACCGACTAAAATGTCTAAATCTGCATTCTCTTGAGCGCAGGTGGGAGAGAGAGAGAATAATTTACACATGGAAAATAATAAAGAGGGGCTGGTCCCAGATCTGCACACAGAAATAGCACCACATGAGACCAGAAGGCATGGCAGGATGTGCAGAATACCCCTGTTGAAAGGCAGAGGTACAATAGGTACTCTGAGAGAACTCTTTCAACATCAGAGGCCCAAAACTGTTCAACACGCTTCCACTACACGTAAGGGGTATAACTGGCCGACCCCTCACAGTGTTCAAGAGAACTTGACAAGCACTTCCAAAAAATACCTGATCAACCAGGCTGTGACTCATACGTCATGCGGCGAGCAGCCGCGTCCAACAGCCTGGTTGACCAATTAACACTTTCCCTATCTCGTGACACTTAATGCATCACCAATTTTTCTCCCGAGTCCTATCTCGTGACACTGAGTCCAACAATAAAATATTTGTATAAAATTCATTTTTTATCCGATCAACTTTGGGATAGTTTCAAAATGAGCGCATTTAAATTGCGCACCATTTGATTCCAAAATGAAAGATGTAACATGAAACTTGATGTTAGAACACTTGAAAGATTATGAATACATTTTTGGCAAAATTTTAAAATATTTGTTAAAATTCTATTTATTGTGCTATTATGGGACTAGTTTTAAAATGCGCGCCTTTTGAATGCGAACAATTTGATACCAAAATGAAAGATGTAACATGAAAATTTATGTTAGAACACTGGAAAGATATAAATAATTTTGTAATGATGAGCATCCAAAATTAAAATATTTGTTAAAATTCCAGTTATTGCTCTATTATTATGGGACTAGTTTTAAAATATGCGCCTTTATATTGTGAACAATTTGATACCAAAATGAAAGATGTAAGACGAAAATTGATGTTATCAAACTGAAAGAGTATACACATTAGGCCGCTGTGTGCAAACTGGTGCTCGTTCACAGGTAACTTTAGGCTTTGCTGTGGGGAGTCACGCCGGGCGTTTGGACATTATATGCATATACACCTGCGGGAAATATAATTGCAAACACAATGATACCAAACAGAACGACGTAGCACGAGAATTAGGGTTAGCAAACTGAAACGAGTATTCACATTTTTTCTGATTTTGTGCACTCATGGGTAATTTTTGCCGACTTTAGGCTTTGCTGTGGGGAGTCACGCCGGGCTTTTGTACATTATATACATATACACCTGCAGGGAATTCTAGTGCAAACACAATGATACCAAAACGAACAACGTAGCACGAGAATTAAGGTGAGAAAACTGAAACGAGTATACACATTTCGGTGTCGCCGAGCACTCGCCCGCACGCCGGGAGCATGACCTCCAAGTTTGCGGCTCGCATGCTGGGACTGCGAAAGTGTTAAACATGAAAGGAAAAATAATTTTTTACAAAGAATTTATTTTCAGCGTACAGTGAGAATGTCATATTTTAAGGCTGTGCCTGAAATACTATGCATGCTAGGAGCTGTACAATAAGTTAAATTTTAATTTTATCCTGTCATATGTGAGATAACTACATACCTTGAGAACCTGTCTAAAGAGATTTAACCACATCTTTTTAGTGATAAAATGAGGAAACTTTTCCACCTGTCTTTTAACAGTCCTAATATCCTAAGCAAATCCACACATCACCCATTTTAGCAAATAAGAATTTGTTGAATTGAGTGAGTAAATTTGGCCTGGAAAGTGTCTGTTCCAACCGAAGATTCGACGAATTGTAGTTTGTTGAATTGAGGTTTCACTGACCTGTATATCAGAAAGAAGACCTTTCTGAAAGATCACCTTCAGTAAAACTTCTATCCTATAACAATATTCTGCTTCACAAGTTGCTTCATTCACTAGAACTCTGTTGAGAATTGTGGCTAGGTCTTCCAAGCCTCCCAACAAAGGGAGAGTACCAATTAGAATTACCTAAATTCACTTAATTCATGACCATACTGATTAGGAAGTTTGCTCTGAATTATTCTACTGAACAATTAAAAAAATATTTATCATACATACCAAGGAAAATCGATAACGTTATCATTTAACTTTACAGATACATGGCCTTTGTTTCGATACTGTATAAGTACTTTTGTAACTGATGAAACATACAGAAGTTCTTACCTTTACTTTCTATTTCTCGCTGTAATAAACTTTCCATTTCATCTGAATCTGCTATATCAATGGCTAGGTCACCATCATTGTTAACTAAGGAGAGGTCAGCTCCCCGGTCTATTAGGAACCTGTAACAAAAACCGTCATCAGACAAATGTTTATTAACTATGGTACAGTAACTAAATCCTCTTCACACTTAATCAATTCACTATTAACTTAATTATTTCACCAAGCAATTCTTATCCTCAATACACATTTATTAAATAAACTACCTACAGTACTTAAAATCACTTAAAAACTGTACACTTAAAAATTTAATTTTATACACACTAAACATCAGTAACTATTAACTTTACTACACATTTACTAACTCTCACATTTACTTACAGGTTGGATAACAAGAATTTTTCAAACAAGGAATATCATACCAATGATATGTTTCAAGACACTAGTGCTCTCTAGGGTGGAATAATGTCACACAATAAAAGACCCATTCAAAGCTGGAGAAATTGCTGACCTGGAGAGCATTCACAGATTCTTTACTGCTACAGTCAATTCAATAAAGCATCTAGATTATTGGAAATGATTAAAAAAAATTCAAATCTGTACTCTATAGCATACAGGCAAGAGACAATTTACACCATTCAAAAGGTCAATGGTGAAAAAGGATTCAAAAGGTGATACCCCTTGTGTCAACACCTACATTTGAGGAGCTCCAGGATATTTCAAAATTCCTAAGTATTGTAGAACAGGCTGATGATAGTGAGTGGTGTCCCAAGGAACATAAAGCTGTAGTGCTTTGGATAAATAGGCGATATAACACAAATGTGTCAAGTGAAGTGAAAAAATTGGATGAGAAAAAGTTGCCCTAGTATTAACAGTGCAGACGACGACATTCAAGATGGCCGTCGAAAACAAGAGCTAGAGTTTGTGGGTTTTAATGAAGAATGCATTGATATAAGTAGTCTACACAACAAGTTGGCAAAAATAGATATTATAGTGAACTATCATGGAGAAATAATCAGCAAATTGAAAGAAAGTAATGACCACTTGAGTAGCAAAGTATTAGGGTCTTATAACAATAATGGGAGAGATTATAGCGAGAGCTGATAAAGATTGATCACGACTGTTTGTAGTCGACAACTTCAACTTGAAATCCATAAAGACTGGGAGGCATATGAAGCTAGAACAGAGGATTTTTTAACTACAAGTTACAAGGATGAGGGAAGGGGATGTTCCCTTCATGCTGGATTTGATATTTACCAGGAAAGAGGAAAAGATATTAAACATTCAGTACCTTCCTCCCTTGACTAAAAGTGACCATGTCTTTTTGGGAATAAAGTATGCAATGGGTTATAATCTGGAAGAAAATGAGATTGAAGCAGTTGAAAAACCTTATTTCAGGAGAGGACATTATGGGAACTCAGACATTTCTTCGAGGAATTTGACTCGAAAGACTTGCTGTTAGGATATGAAATAAACGAGATATATGTCAAGTTTTGTGAAATATATGATAAGGGCACGACAAAATTTATACCAAAACAGAGATGCAGAACTAGGAAACAGGATTGGTTCAACAGAAATTGCGAGAGGACCAGAGACCAAAAGTCACAAAAATGGAATCAATATAGGAAGAGACCAACCCCTCAAAACATACCAGTGATACAAAGAGAGAAACAACTATACAGCAGTGAGTTCAAAGAATTTTTGAAAAAGGGATTGCAGACAAATGTAAAACAGAACCAGGCCTATTCTATAAATTCATAAACAACAAATTGCAGGTAAAGAATAACATTCAGAGGTTGAAAATGGGAAATGGATTCACGGAAAATGAAAAAGAAATGTGTGAAACTTTAAACGTAAAGTTCCAAAGTGTGTTTGTACAAAATGAAATCTTCAGGGAACCAGACAATAAGAATTCCAGAGAACAACAGAGCACATAGAGGTGATTAGAGAATGTGAAAAAAATGCTCAAGGAGCTAAGTAACAACAAAGCAGTAGGTCCAGATGGAGTTTCACCATGGGTTCTGAGAGAATGTGCACCTGAGCTCAGAATTCCACTTCAACTGATTTTTCAGGCATACTCCCCAAGCCCGCCCCAAGGCCAGGCTCGGCTTGTGAGAGCTCGGTCCACCAGGCTGTTGCTTGGAGCGACCCGCAGGCCCACATATCCACCACAGCCCGGTTGGTCCGGCAGTTTTTTTTTTAGAAAACAATCTAGTTTTCTCTTGAAGATGTCCACAGTTGTTCCGGCAATATTTCTTATAGCTGTTGGGAGGGTGTTGAACAACCGCGGACCTCTGATGTTTACACAGTGTTCTCTGATGATTGTGCCTATGGCACCTCTGCTCTTCACTGGTTCTATTCTGCACTTTCTTCCATATCGTTCATTCCAGTATGTTGTTATTTTACTGTGTAGATTTGGTACTTGGCCCTCCAGTATCTTCCAGGTGTATATTATTTGGTATCTCTCTCGACTCCTTTCTAGTGAGTACATTTGGAGAGCTTTTAGACGATCCCATTAATTTAGGGGCTTTATCGCATCTATGCATGCCGTACATGTTCTCTGTATTCCCTCTATTTTAGCAATCTCTTCTGCTCTGAGGGGGAAGTGAGTACAGTACTGAGCAGTACTCGAGGCGGGACAACACCAGTGATTTGAAGCGTACAACCATTGTGATGGGATCCCTGGATTTGAAAGTTCTCGTAATTCATCCTATCGTTTTTCTGGCTGCCGCAATATTTGCTTGGTTATGCTCCCTAAACGTTAGGTCGTCGGTCATCATTATTCCCGAATCCTTGACATGCTATTTTCCTACTATGGGCAGATTCGATTGTGTTTTGTACCCTGTATTATGTTTCAGATCCTCATTTAGGGATCTGGAAGGATTTAGGGATTGGGGATTTGGGGATTTGGAAATGTATAGTTGAGATATTAAGTCTGATAAGAGTTAGTAAGCATGCTCTCCAGGTCAGCAATTCCTCCAGCACTGAGACCAAGCTCTCACAAGTCAGAGCTTGTGGGGAGTAGAAAAATTCCCAGAACCCTATCAAGCAGGTAAACCTTCTCTCTCAACCTGTATACCCCAGGGGTGTATTATGTGAGAATGCACATGCCAACTTATAATATGCAGTTATAAATATTTAACCCATTTAATAAAAACAAATTAAAGCCCATGACTGTGCTTTGCACATGTGACCCTGTCATGTATTCATCTGTAAGTGATAAAATAGTTATAACACTTGGTTTGAAAGCAAAAAGAGCCAAATTTTTGCTTTGAGACCTAGCAATTAACACTTTCGCGCTTTATATTAGAGATAACTCGTCACTGGTTTTTCTTACGATTCCGCATAACTGCCTACTTTTCTCGTCAATCGAAAAAATATTTCTATAAATTCCATTTTTTAACCGAAATGGATGGGGATACTTTTGTTTTGTAGAGAATTTATTTGCGAATTTTTTGGTACCAGAATGAATATTATATCACATAAACTTCTATGAGTAAAAAAAAAATACACAAAGTATGTTTGGGGGTGTGGCGAGCGTGTGGCAGTGGGTTCCCTTTAGCCGTTGATATATCCAACACGTGGGAAATATTTGTATGTGTTATGTATATGTCTGTGTAGGGAATTTTACTGCGATCACTGTCATACAAATTATAAAATGTTTCAACAAGTATAAACATGACAAACATCAAACGAACGAAAACAATGCGTTCGTTTCTGCCGCGAACGCATACTGAGCGACGTGGTTCTATATTTGGCGCTTCTCTTACACATGCTTTGTACAAATGTTATACAGTTCATCTTATAGAAAATTTTATTGCAAACACATTGGTATTAAAAAGAAATACGTACATAGAAAAGTAGGGTCAGGAAACGTATAAACTTTCCAAGCATGATTTCCCACCTGTGTTTTCGCCAGTGCGCTCGCAGCAAACTACTCTCCACTTCACACACTCTTGCGGGTGGGCAATTACCTATATTAAACATTCATATGCATATGTCCGTGTAGAGAATTTTATTGCGATTCCAATGATACCAAAATTAGCGATGTAGGACAATTGTAGGCTTCGCAACCATTAAGAGAGTGGAAACATTTTGTTGCTGTTTGGCGCTCTCGGCGAGTGATCTGCATAGTTTTTTATTTGGTGCTGATACTCCTTATGCTTGGGCGGCATTTTATAGGTATGCTCTTATAGACAATTTCATTGCGAACACAGTGATACCAAATTTAAATACGTGCGCCTTCAATTATTGTCAGGACAGTCAAAAGAGTGTACACTTTTTCGGTCTTACCGCGTAGGCGGGCGAAGTGATGAAAGCATCTGGGGTATTGTTTTTTTTTGAGCGCCGAGAGCGCGAAAGTGTTAATAAATTAACAAATCATATTTTGGGAATCAAGAAGGCTAAGGCTTTAAAGTAAGCTTTGCGAGACAAAAAAAAAAGTACATCAGAATTAAAAAGTCCCTTAAGGGGGACCCCCTAAACACATTTCAAGACAATACACACAATTATATTCCTTTTACATTATCTCTATTAGTAATTCAGACAATTAAAAGTTATCACACAAGATTCAACACTAAGCATAATCAGTTTTAACCAAAAGGTATCTAGATACACACTCCATGTTAATCTCTTAAATCATGGGAACACTTACTTTGCTATACTGTTAAAGCCACAAGAGGCGGTGGCGTGTAGTGGCGTCCAACCCTCCATATCCCCCTTGTTGACATCAGTCCCCTGTTCCACCAGGAACTCCACCATATCCAGATTGTCATCTATACACGCCTGAAACAACAAAATTAATTAATTAATGGTTTTGACTAATCGATCGAAGAAGACATACCCAATCACTAAACCAGACATCTCACAATCCAAGCATTGTTACTGTGCTAAATTTTTTTCTTAAGTTGAAATTCCAACCCCCTTCTCTCTGTATACTGTACTTTAAATTAAGGCCATACCAAGACAATGTGGTGGAGGAGATTGTTAGTGGGCATGTGACAAGTTGGTAGCTGCTGCAAACAGAGCCTAGATACTTGTGTTATCCCAGACATGCTGAAAACAGCAGAGACAGCACCACTCCACAATGGAGAAAATAAAGAGGCAAAAAATATAAACTGATAGCACTAACATCACACACATTTTTTTAATGTGCTACAAGTAAGATCATAAAACATGGTAGATAAAATCACGGGTAAATAATCCTGGAAAACATGGGTTCAGAACAGGGCACTCCTGTCTCTCACCACTAGACCACTATGATATTTGTATCATGACAAATGACAAAAAAGTGTGCTAGAAACTCGATAAGAAATTCCAGGAGATCTTCCCATTAGAGCAAGGAGAAGCTCCAGAGATAAGAGAGGTAATTTTTAACCAGGCACCACTGGAGGAGTATGAGATTGCCAGTGGGTAGGTGAGAAAGCATTTGCTAGAGTTGAAAGTGACAAAGGGTACAGGCCTGGAACCATGGATACTGAAAGGAGCAGCAGAAGTAGTGTGCCTACCAAACTCAATGCCTACTTGATGGGGTTCAGGGTTCTTCTACTCCCCAAGCCCGGCTTAACTTGTGAATGGTATATAACAAATCACTGGTAACAGTAGAACTACCAAAAATTGGGAAGATGGCTAATCAAGTCCTGACATACATGAAAGGTTTCAGACAGGAGGCACTGAACTACAGACCAGTGTCCCTAACTTGCATACCATGCAAAATAGAGAAGAATGCGAAAAAAAAATCTGTAGCAAAATAGCTTTGAAACACATCAGCAGCATGGGTTCAGGGATAGAAAATCTTGCCTAACAGGATTAATTGAAATCTATGACCAGGTGGTCATAGGTGACAAAGTGACAAAAATTAGGCAAGAGAAAGGGTGGGCATATTTTTGGATTGCCAGAAAGCCAGTACCCCATACAAGACTAGTGCATATGCTGGAGATGCAAGCAGGAGTAAAAGAGAAGGTACACCATTGGATAAGGGAGTACCTAAGCAACAGAAGACCTCGAGTCACTGTGAGGAGTGAGGTCTCAAAGAGTGGCACCACATCACCAGTGGAGTCCCATAGGGTACTACACTTGTGGTACGACTTAAGGTATGACTCCTGTTTCTGATGTATGTAAAGGATCTCTCAGAGGGAATAGACTTGTTCCTCTCAATGTTTGCTGCTGATGCAAAAATTATGAGGAGGATTAAGACTGAGGAATATAACAAGAGGCTATAAGATGACCTAGAAAAACTGAAGAAATGGTCCAACAAATGGCTAATGAAGTTCAACCCAAATAAATGTAAGGTAATGAAACTAGATGTAGGGGAACAGGAGGCCGGACATAGGGTACAGAAAGGGAGATGAAATCCTCCACGAAATGGACAGAGGAAAAATCTATACATTGATATCAAACTGAGCCTGTCTCCTGAAGCCCACATGAAAAGATCATCATCAGTGACATAAGCAAGGCTGGCTATCATCAGAACTGCCTTTAGAAACGTATGTAAAGAATCATTTAGAACCTTGAATACCACATATGTAGGACCAATACTGAAGTATGTGGCTCCAGCATGGAGTCCATACCTTGTCAAGCACAAGACAAAGCTGGAATAAGTTCAAGGGCCCAACAGACTAGTCACAGAACAAAGATGCATGAGTTATGAGGAAAGGCTGCATGAATTGCACCTCATGTCGCTGGAAGATAAAGAGTTCAGGTAGGCATGATCACAACATACAAAATTATTAGGGAACTTGACAGGTTAGACAAGGACATTATTTTGCACAGGTGGTACTGATACAAGAGGACAGGTGGAAACTGAGTACCCAAATGAGCCAGAGATATTAGAATGAACTTTCTCAGTGTCAGGGTAGTTAATAAATGGAATGCATTAGGAATTAATGAGGTGGAGGATGACTCCATACATAGTTTCATATGTAGATAAGATAGAGTTCAACAAACTGAACACCAGTAGATTGACAGTTGAGAGGCAGGAGCAGAGCCAAAACTCAACTCCCACAAGCACAACTAGGTGAGTGCAACTAGGTGAATACATGGCCTTAGCTGCCATGATGTACGAGCAAAAATGTTGGTCATATACACTGATTTCGCTCAAGTTTCACAACAAAAGATTTTTGGCACTACCACTATAATGAATGGCAAAGACTATGATATGAATTATGTTTAACGTTGCTTAAAGTCGTAGGCCTGGGCTATACTAAACTAAGCACAACAATGCTGCAGGGTGTTTTTCTTGGAGTACCCTATATTAAAACTCTGAGTCTTTCGATCGATTATGTATTGTGTATATGAAGACCTCGAGTGGCATCTTGAATTTAATCATCTTTAAACCTCTTGTAATATTTTATATTATAATCAGGTGTCGGTGGAAGTATGGTTGTGTAAGCAACTTGCATTTGCTTGTTTACGAGTGTGTGGATGAATAAATATCAGTGTTGATAATGTTTTGAGGCGCTGGTGTAGGCAACATATATCCGGGCCCTGCCCTTAATGAGTTGACAGCTTGTGACCGCCGACCCATCAGCTAATTAATGTGATGACAGCATGTTTACTTTTGAGACAAGATTAGGCCTTGGCTAAAAACTTACATCGAAGACAGACAGACTATAGCTAGACCGCTATAAGCAGATCATAGCTACGGACAGATAGTGTATATGAACATAGTTTCATGTAGATGCTTACACATACATGTACAGTGTAAATATAAATACTTACGGATACATGTAGATACATACAAATTCACGGAGATCTATACAGAATCATGCAGATGCTTGCAGATACGTGTAGATACTTACACACACAAAAAAAGACAAGCAAATACACAGACAAATCTACCAGACAAGGTTATTACCATCTGGATATTACGTCTATCTGGGAAAGGCGGTTCCAGGTATTGAGGTGGTTCCAAGGATCAATGTCCCCGCAGCCTGGTCTCTTGACCTCCTGGCTGGTTGTTAGGTGGTGGTGGTTGTTACAGATTCAGTTACTCGGATCAAGTTCCAAGTAGCAAGGGGTATGGTGAGCCCGTAGTGGACTTACCTGGCACAGGAGCGGTGCTCGCCGGTTGTTGGGTTAGCCAGGCTGTTATATACCACTGCTTGCATTTGACGTATGAAGTACAGCCCGGTTGATCTGCTATCATTTCAATGTGCTCATCAAGCTCACTTTTCAACACGAAAAGGTCGGAAAGTTATGCCCATGATGTATAGAGGGAGACTGTTGAAAAATCTTGTACCTCTATACTTTTCAAAGGGGCCCTATTTTGCACACATCTTATCATAGGAATTAAGAGGGGCTGTCGTAGGGACATGTCCTGACTCCACTAGTGGGAAATATGGCAATAAATTACAAAGGTAACGAGCAGCACAGAATGTCACCTCGCCTCTCTTGCAACCTGACTTCTATTAGTAAGGACGTCGGGGTCCAAATTATTCACCACACAACCCCCTCCTCCACCTGCAACATCACCCTGTCAATATGACTTATTGTTACACAGTACTTGTGTTTCTTGTCTAGTAACCGTTGCTGATCACTATATAGTCCAAAAGCTGTACTAAATATCACCGAGTACAGTGATACACCTTACTTCTGTCCGTATACACACAGAATACACCTTATTTCTGTCCTTGTACACACACACCCAATCACTTGGGCTGGACAGTAGAACGACGGTCTCGCTTCATGCAGGTCGGCGTTCAATCCCCGACCGTCTAAGTGGTTGGACACCTTCCCCCCCCCCCGACCGTCAAAGTAGTTAGACACCATTCCTTTCCCTCCGTCCCATCCTAAATCCTTATCCTGACCCCTTCCAAGTGCTATATAGTCGAAATAGCTTGGCGCTTTCTCCTGATAATTACCCCTTATACACACCGAATACACCTTACTTCTGTCCTTATACACACGATGTTATTGTTTTAGATTCAGCTACTCGGGACAAAACGTTCCAAGTAGCACGGGCTATGGTGAGCCCGTAGTAGACTTACCTGGCACAGGAGCTGGGCAGTAACTGGTTATACACACAGAATACATCTTACTTCTGTCTTATCCAAAACTAAACTTTAGTTCTGGACTTTGTTCAGAACAAAATTATATTATCTGTTTGGTCAGTAAGCAATTATATTGGACTTATAATTCATGAAAATAATCGTCAGGAATGGGTGGTTGTTGGGTGGGTATATCGAAGGGAGGGAGGGCACGTCGACGCTCGGGCGGGCGGGAGGGAGGGCACGTCGACGCTCGGGCGGGCGGGAGGGAGGGCACGTCGACGCTCGGGCGGGCGGGAGGGAGGGAGGGCACGTCGACGCTCGGGCGGGCGGGAGGGAGGGCACGTCGACGCTCGGGCGGGCGGGAGGGAGGGAGGGAGGGCACGTCGACGCTCGGGCGGGCGGGAGGGAGGGAGGGAGGGAGGGCACGTCGACGCTCGGGCGGGCGGGAGGGAGGGAGGGAGGGCACGTCGACGCTCGGGCGGGCGGGAGGGAGGGAGGGCACGTCGACGCTCGGGCGGGCGGGAGGGAGGGAGGGAGGGCACGTCGACGCTCGGGCGGGCGGGAGGGAGGGAGGGCACGTCGACGATCGGGCGGGAGGGAGGGCACGTTGACACGCGGGCGGGCGTTAGGGCACGTCGCGTGCGTCGACACGCGGGCACGTCGACACGCGGGCGGGCGGGCACGTCGACACACGGGCACGTCGCGTGCGTCGATACGCGGGCGGGCGGGTACGTCGCGTGTGTCGACACGTGGGCGGGCGGGTACGTCGCGTGTGTCGACACGCGGGTCCACACA